GTCAAGCACAAAAATAGCAGTTTTTATATGGATGAACTAATATTGAGGAAGGTTGGAAAGAACTAAATGTTAAATTTAAAGCAGCGGAGTCAACTCAGAATATTAGAGTGACTGGTACAGGGGAGGACTTCAAAGGGGTAATCTTGGTAGATTTTCTCAAGGGACACATGGTGGTTTATTAGGGGAAAATGTTTTCAGAAAATTACACTCGTGAAAAAAAGGCTAGGAAAGTTGCACTGGGCCTTTTTCTTTGTCCTTCATGACAGTGCACATCCCCGTGCTTAGACGATAGCAAGGGCTGGAGGACTTCAGTGGAAAACCTTATCCCAACTCACCCTTCAGTCCTGATCTTAACCCTTCAGACTTCTTTTTTTTTCCAAAACTCAACATTTCAGAGGCACATAAATTGTGCCTTGATGATTCCCAAACTGTCATGTTGATGTGGTACAAATCAAAGAGCATGGAATTCTTCAGAGTAGATTTAGAGAGACCTTCAGAAGGCCTTGATGGGGAGATGTTGTTTTCATTTGGTTGATTGTTTGTTTTAAGTTTCTTTGATTTTGTAGATATACTTTCTGATTTGTTTGGATGTGTGTATCTGTTTATATTATTAAAATGAGAAGCATAAACCTTGTTAAATGATGTATATGCATAATGGCCCGAGGAGTGGAAGAGAAAGACAGTAAAGAAATAGAAATTAGACTTCTTTGACTACCCCTATTTTACAAGTTTTACTCTGAAATTTTGTGAGTATTTTACTTAATTGTAAAAGCAACAAAAATTTTAAAGGTGAAAATTAAAAAAAAACAAGAACATAGTTATGTATCCATTTGGCATCATTGCTACTCAGGAAGCAACTGTTCCAAATGCTTCTACCAAACCTCAGTTAGGAAATCACGTTCCAGGTGATGGGATGATGTTATATACAGTGATACCAGTGTATAAAGCCCATCCAAGGAACAAAGGTTGGTTCTTAAGTCGCTCCCTCTACTAAGAGAATCTTAACAAATGCCCAAGGAAACAAACACTTGGTTGACGCTCTCTACTAAAGTCAAGTCTTAATCTCACCTTAATCTTGTCCATTACTATAGTCGGGAACACCGGCCACAAAGGGTTAATAACTCAAGCGTGGAGTCCAGAATTATGTCACATAAGGAATTATGCAGAGAAGGCTGATGTAAATTAACTACAAATCAGTACTTAAGTTTCTTGGTAAATTGCTGCTCACTGAATTTTAGTATCCATTAAACCAGCTTGATGGTGGTGAAAAGAAGACAAAATAATAATCGTGCTTATTTTACCTTAAGCTATGCAAACTCACAGACAGGTTGTTTACTATTACCGTAAGACCAGCTATATGCTAAACTAATGGCACTATCAGTGGTTATGCATTGGGCTTCTAAATGTAAGGTCAATAGTTCAAAAGCACAAGCCAGCTCCGCAGGGGATGAGGCTTTCTACTACTTTGAACATTTTCAGGCTTGGAGACTCAAAATGGCAGTTCAGCCCTGCAGTGTAGGGTCACTATGAGTCAGCATTGACTTGGCAGTAGAAGTGATGCCCCTAGGGGGATGATTGATAATGTTGGCTAACAAAATGACAGTGATGTCTGCAAGGTGAGCTAGAGACATATATATAAACCATAGATGCATGAATTAATTTTGGGCTTGCACTTAGGTTTAGCCCTAATCTAAGAACAATTAGTTCTTATGTCATGGCCCTGCTTGATGCTCACCTTCATGAAGAGATCACTGAAGATATAGGTGCCACAGCAATGTGTGGCGAAGAAATTAGATGGCTCTTGGCTACCAGAAAGAATAACATCTGGAGTCTTACAGGCTTATTTTCAAATAAGCAGCCATCTAAGACAGCAACTAAGTCCACATGGAAAAAGCATACCAGCCTATGTGATCCAAGGCTTATAAATAATATATGTAATCCAAATCTAAAGGAGAGAATGTATCAGACCTTAAATTGTGAACACTTGATTTGCAGAAGGCTATAAATGACAGTGAAAAGGACCCACACAAGGATTATGCTTCGGTGATCCTCCTCTGATCATCGTTAAAGAATGTGGCCAGCCCTGTTATCAGGCAGCATTGTAAAGTCAATTGTGGCAGACATGGTTAAATTAAATGCACTATCTTAGCATTTCCTCTCCCTTATGACTCACTTTGAAGTTGTTTCAGTTTTTTTAAAAAAGTAAAGGGGAAATATTCTTGGATTTAAACCCCTGGTGAATCCTCTCTGACCATGGACAAGGGCTATGAATAGCTTTGCTATCATGCAGAATGCATTAGAAAGTGGATTGTTGCAAATGCAGTTAGGTTAAAATTTAGCATGTTTGTTTTAAGTATTAAAGTATCCATTTAAATTCATTTTTAGTATTTCCTGCTTTTCTACTGAGGTTTATATTTTACTTTGTTGTTATTGTTTCTCTTTAAATGTTTTTCTGTATATGAAATCCACGATAGGTGAATCTATAACGACAGTACTGGTTTTGTGGTTCCTTGGGAGTATGGCAGGAGAGGTTGTGGAAAAATGAGGAATTAATAATAATGAGGACAAGAATGAAGAAAATGTTCTATAGTTGATTGTGGTGATGATTTTACAACTCTTCTTGATGTGATTGAACTCTTGTATGATATGTAAATTGTATGGCAATAACACTAACAAAAATAGAACAGCTTTATAATAAAATCAGATGGAGTTTTTCATAATTGTAAAGCCATCTGTTTAGACTATGAGAGGATGAGTATGCTTACCTTTCACTAACTTATTGTCCAAAATGTAATGATGTAATTTGGTATTTATATAACGATGTGGCTATCCTCCAGTTTTGCATAATGCCATTTTCACATCATGACCTGGCCGTTAGAACATAATCACATCAATAAGTGAGGAGTGGGTATATGTAAAGGGAAAGGGTTGCAGGTTTTTTTTAAGTTATTAAAGTTGTTTTATTAATGAGTTCAGTCTTTTTTTTTTTTGCAAAGAGAATATATGATATACTGAAGAGAAAGTCACATTTTTATCAAAATATTGTAAAGATAAATTTTGTTATTTAAGATTGCTTTTGTTCTTTACTACGGTGGCATTTTGATAATTCATCTACTGTCAAATGAATTTCCATAGGTTTTATTATTGAGTTGCAAGGATGTATTTTTCCTGTATTATTGACTCTACTTGAGTTCTATACTATATTTAGAATGTAAGGTTAACTGATTCCCCCTGGTAAATCAGAGCATTTTGTATAAGTTGACCACAGACCTAATTTTTAATATGAAAATTAGAATAGAATGACAACAGTGCCTACTGAAAAATTGCTGCTTCTATCCAAAGTATGGAAATTCTCTTTTAATTAAATGTAATATACCCTATATACTCAAGTATAAGCCGACCCGAATATCAGCTGAGGCACCTAATTTTTTTTTTTTGGTCTTTTTTTTTAACATTTTATTAGGGGCTCATACAACTGTTATCCCAATCCATACACACATCAATTGTGTAAAGCGCATTTGTACATCGTTTCT